TTGGAGAATAGGTCAACCCCTATTCTCTGTGAGAGCCCCTAAAGAATGGGAAAACTGCTGTCACGTCATCAACCCTAGTCCTTTCTTCATTAGACCCGACATACCCAGTTCCTGCAACCATTCATCATATACTTTAGCCTCCAGTCCCTGTGAGTATCCCTGATCGAGCGCTTGCGAGAATGGCTGTGCCCTGACTATCCTTTAATTTTCCCAAGACAAAATGGTAGGAGATTGTAAGTGGATTTTGTGATGGTTGATGATGAAACACTGAAACATTCTATGCTTTAGATGGGGAGCCATAAAGAATGAAGCTACTTCTCCTTTATATTCTGGAGCAAATTTAGGCCTCCACCTTTGTACAGACTGTAGTGTAGATTCTGACTCACCCACACTATTATAGAGAGTAATGCAGTAATTATACAGTAATGTGCCATAGCTGTCCCCATTTGTGACATTTCAGCCAAAGTTGTGAAATAGTTCCTGTTATAATGTTGGTCATATTTCTATACAGGTTTCTGTTACTAAATGAGACACTTGTTAAGTGAGTTTTGCCCCATTTCACAATCTTTCTTGTTCCAATTGTGAATCACTGTTGTTAAGTTAGTAACCCGGTTGTTAAATGAATCTGGCATCCCCGTTGATTTTGCTTGTCAAAAGGTCGCAAAAGGTGATCACATGATCTTGGGACACAATAATGGTATGAACCACCTGCCAAGCATCTGAATTTTGAACACATGATCATGGCGATGCTGCAAAGGTCATAACTATGAAAAATGGTCATGTCACTTTTTTCATGCTGTTGTAACTCTGAACGATTTACTAAAAAATGATTATGTTGAGGACTGCCTTTATTATTTTTCCATATTTTTCCTCTGTTTCTCCATTTTCTATACAATGAGAGTGGGTGGTTAAAGTAAGAAAGAAGTATAGGGATGTATAAGTCTGACTTCAAATCACCAAGAGCACTGGGAAACTACCAGAGGACTGGAAATGGGCTGATGTGGTTCAACTTTACATGGAGGAAAGCTTGTAGTGGGCTATCCCAAACTTCTGTCTTAGGTCCAGGGCCATGACAATACCCTTCAACATCTTAAAAATATTTAAATGAAGGGATAGATGGGGAACTCATCAAATTTGCAAATGACATCAAGCTGGGGAAAATAGCCAACACATTAGAAAATAGAATCTCCATAGACACTTAGAAGATAGGCTTAAGATCTAGGAATGTAACCAACTTGAACACTGGGCCCTATGCAACAAAATGCAATTCAGTGATGAGAAAACTAAAATCTTATACTTAAACAAGAAATACTAAATGCATAGATATAGAATAGAATCAACTCAACAGCAGTAACTGTGACAAACATCTAGCTGTCCTGGTGTACAACTACTTAAGTATGAGCCAACAGTGTATTGCAGCTGCTAAAAAAAGTCATTGCAGTCTTGTGGGCATCAACAGAGAGATAGTATCAATGTCACACTGAAGAACTAGTGCCGCTTTACACTGCACTGGGAAGACCACATTTGGAATGGTAATGATACACTGGTAAGATCACATTTGGACCAATTCTGGTCACCATGACATAAAAAACATTTGAGACACTAGAAAGTTTAAAGATGAGCAATAGATGATTGGGGGACTGGAGTCTAAACCTTATAATGAAAAGTTGTGGGAACTGGGTATGATTAGTCTAATGAAGAAAAGGATTAATGATAGCAATATTCTAATATATGAGGGGTTTTCACAGAGAAGAGGGTGTCTAAAGCACTTGAGAAAAAGACAGGACATATCCAGTGGAAGCTTAACAAAGAGGGATCCAACCTAGAATTAAGGAGCAATTTCTAATCAGTCAGGGGAACTGCTTGCCTCTAGAAGTTGTGGGTGTTCCATCACTAGAGGTTTTTAAGAGATTGGACAGCTATTTGTTCAGAATAGCTTAGGATCTCCTGCTTAAGCAGCAGGTTGGACTAGAAGACTTCCAAAGTCATTGGGGAAGCCAGATTCACTTAACAACCTTACTAACTTACTAACTTCACTTACTAACTTATCAACAGCAGTGATTCATTTAACAACTGAGGCAAAAAAGATCGTAAAATGAGACAAAACTCAACAAATGCCTCACTTCACAACAAAAAAATGGGCTCCATTGTGATTGTAAGTGAAGGACTACCTGTACTTCCTTTTAGCCACTTACATATGAACTATCAAATACAAAGCAGACCCCCTCCTTTCGATATGTCACTCAGTATCTTGACTATATTCCAAACAGTAACCACTAATCTCTCACTTAAGCAGAAGGAAATGATGTTCATGATTTTGAAAAATTAGCCAACCAGAATTCTCTTATCCTGATTTATGACAGTTGTGGGAACATCAGTAAGAAAAACTGAGCCTGGAAATTCACAAGCCCTTCAGTTGAGTCCACCAACTTGCTGTAATTGAACTAGCCTAAAATGGACACTTTGTATCAACTCTTCTGGTCCCTTTTTTCTTGGAAACAAAAACTAAGGTTGAAGTCTCCTCCGCCCCACCCGGTTCTGCCATATCTGCATTGGTTTTGAAATCTTAAACATATATGCACACATATAAAACCCTTTGACTGAAACTGAACTACTAGCCTCCTTGGAAACTTATCTAATCCACTGTAGGTCAGAGTTACAGAGTCTTGCCTTTTTTATCTGTAGGCTTAGCCATTTATGACAAGCACCACTTTATTCTATACAAAAATGAGGTATGTTTCCTTTGCTTCTATCATGAGTATTTGTGCTTGGTTTCCACCTATATAGATTATTAGTTACTGATTAAGCTTAGAAAAAACAAGGACTGCTAATAACTCCTCTGAAATGTGGTCTATAAAAGAAAGGATCACCTAAGTTAACACTGGTAGCAAAATGATGTTTTCAAAACAAAATCAGTTGTGAAACAATAAACAAGGAATGGCCATTAATGAGAATTTATTATTCATTTTAAATTATTATCTAAGCACAGGATTAGCTTGAACACATTTTTGTCAAGCTGCATTAAGAATGAATGCAGATTTTTTTCAGAGGTAGTCCCCCAGGCCAGACAAGACCAAAAAACATTGTATGCAACATGTCTTCCTTAGGTATCAGACACTTGGGGGAAACAAAAAACTTGTTAGACACATTCAGAACAAGGAGCTAAAGTGGGAAGATGAGAGGAAGAGAGGAAGACAACATGCGAATATCTACAAGTTAATTTTGTAAAACAAAATTCATAAGAATCAGATAAGACTTGCAGTAACCAAATTTGCAATAATCAAGATGTTTAGTTTTTTTTATTCCTGATCAACATCCATCCAACTAGTCTTGGTAAGCCTCCTCTATGTCTTCAAGAATATATTCATATCTACTGATGCCTGGAATTCTCTTTAATTCCTGTGCAAGAATTATATAATCTATAATCCAATGGCTACCTTTACAAGTGATTTAATGTCCCAGCAGTAACAACAAATAAAATAGGAAAAACACTTTAAAAAGATAGTATTAAAGCTTATTCCATGGCTATATGGTTTCACACTAATTAATATCACCAACTCTTTTTTTGAAAATTTTTATTAAACATATTTAGCATTAAAAACAACACAGTTCCACTCCGTATGGATCGGTCACTCATATTAACATAGTTACGAATTTTATAGATTACTATACTATGTATTATATATTCATTTAAGTTATAACAATATTTACAAGTATATACATTTCTCTCTCTTTTTGATATATATCTTCCATATTCCTTATATAGTAGTTTTACATCTATCTTCCAGCCAATTGTACCATATACTCCAGTTTTATAATATTCTGATTCTTCACTGTCTTTTACTTCCATGGTTAACCTATCCATCTCTGCACACTCAAGTATCTTTCTTATTATCATTAGATCGGACAGGGTGTTGTTCTGTTTCCAATTTTGAACAAAAACTATTCTAGCTGCAGTTAATATATGCAGTATTATGTATTGAAATTTTTTACACGTTTTTCCCTTAATATACTCAATAGCAATATTTCCGGTTGAAGCTCTATTTTTTTGTCCTGTAATTTCTTCTAGATATTTCTTTATTTTGAGCCAGTAATCCCTGTCTTTGGGGCATGACCACCACATATGATAGAAAGTTCCTTGTTTATAGCTGCATCTCCAACATTCAGGTGAATGCTTTGGAAACACTTTGGCCAATCTGGCCAGGGGTAAATGACAACAATAAAACATGTTGTACAAATTTTTTTTGTAGGCTGCTTAACATTGTTAGCTTGTAAATTTTCTCCCATAGTTTTTCCTAATGTTCCAAATCAATACTATAACCAAAATTTTGGGCCCAACTTATCATTGTCTCTTTCATTGTTTCTTCCTCCATTTTAAATCTTAAGAAATAATTATATGCTAATCATTTTTTCTTCCATCCCCTCACTTCCAATTCCAATTTATAGCAAATGTGTGCAGTAAAATATTCCTTGGTTACATTATATTTGGAAAAAAAATAACCAGTTTATAAAAAGATTTTATTATCTAGTTAAGGTACTCCTAATAATAATAAAAATATATGCAGATCAAACTGTATCATTGCTTCATATCACATAACTGCAAGTACTTTTGCTTGAAACTGCCTAATTAATATCACCCACTCTTATGGAATTCCCTGGTAGGCTTCTGTTCAGATACTAACAAGGTCCAACTCTGCTTGACTTCTGAGTCAAGAAAAGGTTGGCCAGTTCTGTATCAAGCCTAACCACTATCAGTTGGAGAATAAAGAAAGAAGGGTAAAGGTAAGAGATATAGTAAAAAAAAAAAAAAAAGAATTCTTTTCCATATAAAAGAAATCCTTCCTTCTTTTCAAGAATTGGCCAAGCTGGATAAAATTATAGAAATACTGAGAAACATCCTTTGAACACCATGTTCTCATTAACATATTTTAACCATTTAACTATTAGAACTGTAATAAATCATGAAATCTATACAATTTCATGCAAGGTATTTATATTACCTGTATTCTTAGGTCCATCTGCATAGACTGGTCCTTGAGGTGGAGCATTCTGCCATCCGTATGGTGGGTAACCATTGTAGCCTGGTTGACCAGCTGGATATGGCCCTGTAGGCCCCGGCTGATAGGCAGGATATGGACCAGGGCCTGCTGGTTGTTGAGTATATGGTGGGTAAGGGGCAGTTGGACCCGGGCCAGGATATGGTGGAGGATTTTCGTAATTCATGTAGGACACTTACTTGTTTCCTAAAAATACAGAAATGGATTTTACTTTCAATTGTAATCTTTAAACAACAAACATACATTTTATTAAATGTATTACATTTAATAATAATTTACACATTAAATTATTATTAACTTTAATTTTAAATTAATTTAATGAAATTTAATGTAGAAAAAAGCAAGGTTTTTACACCTGGGCAGGAAAAACCAAAGATACAAGTACAGATTAGTCAAAACCTGGCTCAAAAACAGTAACTGTGAGAGGAATCTTGTGGAGTGGACGATCACTTGAATATGAACCAGCAGTGTGAGACAGCAGCCAAACAAGCTAATACAATCCTGAGTTCTATAAACAGAGGCATAGAATCAAAATCATGTGAAGTATTAGTACTGCTTTATAAAACCTTAGTAAGACACCACCTGGAATACTGCCTCCAGTTTTGGTCACATTACAAAAAAGATCTTGAGACTTTGGAAAAAAGTGCAGAGAAGAGCCTGGAGACTAAAACATATAAGAACGGTTACAAGATTTGGATTTGGCTAGTCTAGATGAAAGGAGGATAGGATAGCAGTATTCCAGTATTTGAGAGGCTGCCACAAAAAGGAGGGGGATAAATTTACTTTCCAAAGCATCAGGGAGCAGGACAAGAAACAATGGATGGAAACTAATCAAGGAGAGAAGCAACCTGAAATTGAGGAGAAACTTCCTAACAGTGAGGACAGTAAACCAGTGTAACACCTTGCCTCCTGATGTTGTGGGTGCTTCATCACTGCAGATTTTTAAGAAGAGACCAGTCACTTGTCTATAGGATCTCCTGCTTGAGCAGGGAGCTGGACTAGAAGACCTTCAAGGTCCTTTCCAGCACTATTCTGATTTTAATATCTCATAAACAACCTGCTTAATTTTATGTTTCATTTACAGCTAGGACGCCATATACTGTCATCAACAGAAGTATTCTTTCTAAATCTCAAAGTTTTTTTCTGTTTACAGGGAAATGATTACACCTACCATCAAGCAGAGCCCTGGCAGATGCACCAGACTTCTTAGAGCAAAAGGAAGCAATTTGCAGTTCCCGGGCACTCCATTTTCAGCCCTTGAGAACCTCAGAATGGGTGGGCTGAAATGTTCAGACCTGATTTACTGAGAAGAATTGAACGGTGATGGCTAAGAGGCAAAATAGATTGTACTGGATGATGGAGTTCTAAAGTATCCACTGTGTCTCTTTAAACTCCTGAATACTCTCCCAAACACTGGGCCAATTTTTATCACTGGGGGAGATTTAATTATAAAAATGCTTAAGGCAGCCATTTTGCCCTTTAGTGATGCTATATGTGATACAACAATATTTGCAATCCTCAGGCAAATCACAAAGACCAAATGTGGTTGTTATAGCAAAAAATATTTATCCTTCCCTGTCTTATGGCAATGTATTCCAGAAGCATGCCTACTGCAACAAACCTAACTATAAGGAAGTAATCAATGCTTCTCTGGAATATCTCGAAGGACTTTGCTGCCTTCTTCAGAATGATGCAATTATTGCTCTCGCGAATCCCGATACCTCAGTCTAACAATATTTCTTCACAAAGGCATATTCTGGGCAAGATAGTTTGGAAGCTACTAGTGCAGCAGAACCTCCTGTGTCACTTGGCCAAAATGATTTTGCTTTCTGGAAGGACTGTTAGAGCAGGGGATGAACATCAAAATAGCCTATGCTAGCACAACTAATAGAATGACAAGCTGAAGGAGAGGATAGGCAGTCTGTCAATCCTTATGGATGTGATAAGCTAGAAAAGTACTTAGGCAATCCTGATAAGGATTGTATATTGCACAGGTATCAAAGTCAATCGTGTCAAGTGACATATCATGACATTTTTTGCCTTTGCAGAACTGGGGTGTGCGTAGCCTGCGTGTGATGCATCTGGCCTGCAGGCTGCCAGTTTGACACCCCTGGTTTATGCCTCCAAAACGACACCTGAAGGAAACAATAGCCTATGATTGGAATAAAATGTTGTATTAAGTGAGTTTACATATTGCTCAATTCATATAGTTTACCGAACAAAGTTTGATTTGGTACAGAAAATTGAGCATAACTATAAAGCAGAGATTGATGTTTCCACCAAAGGTTGAACTTTCTGTATTTCTGATAGTACAGAGGACACAGTGCTGCAACACAAGTGGGCAAATCCAAAATTATTCCTGGTTTTGTCTTTTTTTGAGGTTGAAGGGGAACTTGAAAGTAACTGCATTTAACTTAGTAAACCCTAAAAGTTTTACTGCTGCTTGCAAACAATAATGGTAAATGTGAGCTTTTGTTTACACACTTTGTATTATTATCTCAACAGGAAGAAACTTGAATTATTCCCAAGGTACAACACTTGGTTCCTCTGCTTATTTAAAAAACCACTTTAGTTAGAGATTCAATAATAGGTAATTTTTCATGGACTGTCAATCAATGTTCCCTCTAATTTTTTTTCAGTGTGAGCAGAAAAGTATAGTGTTTGAGCGGCATATTTTCATGCCTGAGCACCTGAATTTTTTTCACAGACAACAACGAAATCAGTATTATTTGAAAATCAAAGTTATGTTTATTCAAGGTACCTGCTTAATTAAAAGTGTTATATAATATCAGTATCACTTAACAACGCTCCTGCTTAGCAACCAAAATGTTGGCTCAGAAACTCTGGCATTTGAAGCACGCAAGTCTTAAAGCTGTTGTTACAAGATCCTTGCACCCCTAACTCTTTAGAAAAAAAAAACCCAAGAGTCTTCAAACTTGACAGCTTTAAGACTTATGGACTTCAACTCCCAGAATTCCTCCTCCAGTCATGTTGCGGCGATGTCATCAGCTTGGATCTCTGCTCCATCTTCGGTTTTTTTCACAGGGGGCAGGATTGCCGCTGAAGATGCCAAAGAGCCCCCGCCGCCACTAGAATAACTGCTGCCGCCACCTCCTCCTCCAACAGCACATTGCTGCCCAGCGCTGCAGCTGAGGTGAAGCCGCCAAAGCTCCCGCTGGCACCCCTGCCCATGGCAGCGGCGGCGGTGCCTCCCCCTCCGCTTGGAACACCTCAGCTGGGCAGGGTGCAGGCGGGAGCTTTGGCGGCTTCAACTCAGCCGCAGCATCGGGTGGCAAATCCGGCAGTGCTGTTGGAGGAGGAGGAGGTGGCAGCAGACATTCTGGTGGCGGCGGGGGCTTTGGGAGTTCACTTCAGCTGCAGAGCCGGGCGCAAGCAGCTAGGATTGGCCACCCACAAAGGACCTCCCCGGGCTTGCTTGGCTGAACATGGGGCGACTGATGGTAGTTTGAGTGGCCACAGCCAGCACAAACTACCGTCAGTCACTCCGTGCTCATCAAAACAAGTCTGGGGAGGTCCTTTGCAGGTGGCCAGTTCCAGCTTCCTGCAAAGGACTTCCCCGCGTTTGCTTTGCTGAACACGGGGCGACTGACAGTAATGAGCGGTGCAGCCGGCGCCTAGGAGGTCTTAGGAGACCGGCTGTGCCGTGTAAGCTCCTGCCACCATCCCCGCGCCCATGCTAACCCTAGATTTTCTGACGCCCCTCAGCTTCCAGAGCCTGTGACAGAAATCACTGCGCGGCAGTTAGAAACATATGTTCCCACCTTAGAGGGAACAGTGCTGTCAATGTTGCTAGAGCAGCTTTGTTTTTCACAGCTTCTCCAATCGGCTCCAAATCCCTAGAAGCAGCTGCCCTATCCAAGAAGGTTACTAGCACTGAAAAATTTCACTAAGTGCTTCTCAAGGAAAAAGTATTTCATCCATCCCACAGCAGCGATATAGAAACAGCTATATTTTAGAAGCATAACTCTGACAAGCCAATGAAGAAGACTGGCTGGTGATAAACAATAAAAAGATGAAATATTTTTTTATTAGAAGAAAAACAAATTTTCACTTATTTCAAGCATTGTTTAACCATTATACAACACTGAATTGGAGAAATGGGCTTGGAAGTCAAACCTAATTCTATAATTCTGCCAACTTGATATATGTATGTTGCTGTTTTCATCATTAGAGCAGTTGTTTGAACAATGGTGACCTAACAAGTCAGACTACATTTGAATAACTCCTACTGAGCTATGCATGGAATTGATCCAGATAGATGTCATTGGCCTATATGTCAAATACTGTACTACCCAAAATACTGTACTATCCACAAAGAATTGTTCACAGATGATGCTCACTGAAGCATCAACACCATATCGGGCTGGCCACCCTAAAATAAAAATAATTACTAAAATTATAAAGTTATAAATAAGGTGCCTATTCCTGTACAGTATATTAAAAGCTCATTTATAAAAAAATAATGAAAATGTTTACTTTTATTTTCAAAATTTATTAAATGTATTGCTAGTGATACATCATACTGGATGAAATCAATGAACCACAAATGTGGATATAAGTCAAAAGAAAAATCATGCATTGGAAAGTTGGATGCTCTGTATTCCAAATATCTAAAACAAATATCACATGTTACATCAAAGCAATCGGCAATGTTGCTATGTATGACTAAGCAGCTGCACTTTGCTTTCTATTCCTGTACAGAAACAAATTGGCAATTTGAAATAGGTAAGAACAGATTTTTCTGTGACCCTTATAATTTTACCAATTTTTAAAGTTTTATCTTCACTGTTTTGTAAGTAAATAATCCACTTTATATCACTTCCCCTTTCTTTTAATAATCTTGATCTTTAATCCCTTCAAATAATGTCCTAGAATTTCAATTTCTAAAAACAAAACAAAACAAAAACCTTTCAGCACTTTATCAGATTCCTTTTGTAAATCTAAGAAAGTTATCTAAGTCATTCTTTTGGTTTGCCACTTGCATATCCCTTTTAATTATTAAGGCATCCACTGGTTTCATTTTTATATTCAATGTAACATCTTTCATATCACTATTTCAAACTATCATTTCCAAATCCACTTTCCAATCACTCCTAGTCCTGTCCAGCAGACACTTTTAAGATTAACTTGTGGGAAAAGCCGGAAGCATCGCAGCGAGACTAGCT